ACCTTGGCACAGGCGCCCAGTCCGCATTTTCCTGCTGACTGGCTTGTTGCTGAGTGGGTTGCCGGCACAGAGCAGTGTCAAGGGCAGAGCAAGCGAGATGGAGGGGGAAGGGGGGGAGGGAGAGGGGGAGCTGCACGTGAGCAAGACGGAGGATGAGGAAGAGGCTACGGGTCAGCTTGACGACTTGGGTGACCCCATCAACCTCCTCCACTCCCCCAGCCGACAGTAATGTCGGCCCCAACCCTCTCCATCCTCTTGTACAATACCCACCACTGGCGCCTCGTGTGCGACCTCCTCTCAAACCATCACCTCGTCCACACCCTGGGCATCCTCCTCCTCCAAGTACCACGGCTCAGGTTTGCCACGCCCCCCATCCAGAAGTTTTTGTCAGTGCCGCCCGGCGGCATTGCGTGGTCCCTCGCACTCGTGCGCAAGAAATGGGCGGCCTCAACTTACACTCAGGTTGCGGTTGCCTCACACAACATTGTTGCCCTGGATCTGGGCACAGGCAGGCAGTCAGTACATGTCAATGGCGTGGACAACCTGCACCAGGGCAACTGGCAAAATGCCGGGCTCTTGGCGCGCAAGATCCTCCGTCCCCTCCTCGAGTTGTCCCTCCCCTCCTTGAATTGGCCCCCTCCAACTCACTCATTGCCCTCACGGGCACTCGACCTCCATCATCTGGATTGGGACCTGAGGTACCGCCACATGGATGGTGTGTACTCTGATGCAGAAGAGGCCCAGCTCACCTTTGCCCGCTTCGCTCTCGCCCACCTCTTCCCCTCCGCCTCCCTCACCTTCCACCCCAAGAGACACGTGCCGGGGGTGATTGACCTTGTCCTCAGTAACCTGCGCATTGCAGAGACTGTGGTCAGCTGTGCCATCAATGACAACTTCCACTGCTTGTCTGAACACTTGCCTATCCGAGTCGTCCTGAGTCCTTGCCTTGTGCCTCTGTTGAGAAGCAGAGCCTCCCATACGAGATGAATCTGGCCAAGCTGCGCAATGTCATTGTGTCACTGTTAGCAACCAAATCTCCTTTGCTGCACCCAGAACCCACGACCTGTTGTTGTGGCAAGGTAAATGCCAGTATGTTGAGCAGTGATCAGCAAGGTGTGGCAGATGAGGCAGGAGGATGTGGCAGAGCAAACCAAAGAAAATGCCAAGAGCAAACGAGGCATGCTTGAGGCCAAGGATGGTGCGCACCGGAGAGGCGAGAGCTGAGGGAGGGTGCACAGGGCGCGGAGGTCGAGGGCCACAGGGACGGAATCCAGACAAGTGAGGCGTGGAGGCTTCTTCTCTGATTGCTCACGTCGCTCGCTTGGCCCCGTCCAGTTGTCTTGAGAGAGACCAACTGTTGGCCCCATGTTTTTTTCCAAGAGGAGTTGTTCCTGAAGAACAGGTTTGCTTGGAGCAATGGGAGTCAAGATGAGGAAAAGCAGGAACAGAGGGGACTGCTGCACATACCCTTGTGCAGCATACAGAGACTGTCACTTGCTATTGAGTTTTACCAATCTCGGTATGTGCTTGCCCAGTGTGGCCAGCAGCTCACCATGATCAATTTCTGCCAAGGCTTCTTCACCTGTGCAAAAAGGATGCTTGTGAAGGCAAAAGCACGATCCCCGCTCCCGGGATCGAACCAGGGACTTTCAGATCAACACGATTACAGTCTGACACTCTTCCAGCTGAGTTAAGCGGGGACAGGACAATTAGTAATTGGTCACCACGCTCCATATAACCGCACTCTATGTAGAGATTGCCAAATCCTGTTCCTTCCTACTGCGTAGGCTGGCAGCGGAAGCATCACAATGCCTGGTACTGCAGGGAGCTCCTGCTGATCCACTTCATGCAACAGGTGCAAGCTTGTCATTTGTGTTCTCTGGCACCTACAGTCGGTCACGGTCGAGTGAAACGCCCGCCCAGTGAACTTTTTGGCGGGCGCCCCTGCCAAATCCAGCCTCCGAAGCCCGTCCTTCTCGGCTTTACCTTGCTTTTGCTGTCGGCACTCTTTGAGTAGAGCGGTCGTTACTGCAGTTTTTGCTTTGCACTGTTGCGATTGAGCGCTCGCTGGAGAAGAGAAGTCCGCGGAAGCAGCAGTTCTCTCTCTTCATTACAACTGCAATACAAGTACCTCGAAGTTTCTGTATGTAGAGACCGCGAGAACCTATTCCGTCGGCGACGCGATTCACTCGACCCAGGCGTCGGACATGGGAAGGTCAGGCCTTTTTCGTGATCGCTTCGCCCAAATCTTGCTCTTTTGCGACGGCGTAAAAACCGTGCGCAAGCTGAGCAAAATCCGCGTCGAATGCGCGCAGAGTGAGCCCTTAAGTTGCAACGAGAGCCGAGGAATCGGACGAGGCGCGAGGACGGTTCACTTAGCCCGTGACCGACTGTAAACAATGAGGCTGTGCATCACGTGCCCCTGCATTGAGCAAAAGGACAGAACTGGCAGCAAAACAGGACCGCGGGCAAAAGCTGTTGCCCCCACACAGGATCGAACTATGGACCTTTCGCTTACTAGGCGAACGCTCTGCCACTGAGCCATAGGGGCCGGTTTGCGGCCTCAGGGGCAAAGATAACTACAGTATCAGGTACCGCGCATGCAGATAAGTGCCGCTCCCTGTCCCCTCCTCAGTCGGTCTCTCTGTATTCCCTTCGTCCCCAGACATATACCAGGCTCTCTGAGAAGCCCTGGTTACCTGCTCCACTGGAACTTGACCAGCACCCATCAAGCCCCTGACCTTCTTGCTGCACTAAGCACTCAAGTTGTGTAACGTCGCTGCCAACCCTCCAGTGAACAACTGCACTCAAGGCACTACATAACACTGCGCCAAAAGTGCAGAACAAATCAATCGGTGAGATTGATTCATCGGAAGGACGTAGATAAGGTGAGCAATGCTATGAGCAGCAGCGTGCGTTGCACTCAAGTGCAAAGTGCCTGAGGCCATGCCCTCTCTCTCCCGTGCAACCTGCTTTTTACCTCTAGGCTGGGAGCGGAGAGGGTCATGACCTTGTTCCTCCTGGCACACTGACACACGAAGACAAGGCCAGTGACAGGGGCCAAAGACCCTGTCTGCTGGGACACGGCGGTCAGGCACAAGGGCCAGGGCCGGCCTACAGCGAGGGTGTGGGGAGGGAGTTGAGGTAGAGGGAGAGGATGAGGAGACATGAGGGAGGAGCGGAGTGGATGTCAAGGGTCGGAGGGCACTGAGTAGTGATTTGACTTTGGAATCCAGAGGAGAGAATGCCGAGCCAAGCGAGGGGGGATGACTGAAGAGAAGAAGAGGAGAGGGGGGGTGCAGCGGACGAGGCCGCTGCGCCCGAGGGGAGGCGCAGGAAGAAGGCCGGGCGAAGGACTTTAGGCGCGGATCTGAGAACCGCGCGCCAAATCAAGGCCGCCGCGCGCGAGTTGCCTGTTCTCCTCAGCTCACCCACCGAGGAGGACAGGTACGCACACACTCGCTTTCTCTGTAGTTCTCTCAGCTCACCCACCGAGGAGAATAGTTCTGCAACCCACGGTTGTGCCCTTCCAATCCTTGCGAGCGACAGTGTTGCCGTTGTCGACCCCCCCTCACACGACGTCGGCTCTAGGGGGGGACGGGAGCTACAGCGACCGAGTCTCCTCCACCGCGACCATGACCCGAGACCCCTGGTCGTTGACAAACATTCACAGCCTGTGAGCGCAGTGGCAGTGGTATGAGAGTGCATCAGCGAGATTTGAAAGAAAAAGGAAGCAAGGGAGAGGACTCAGCAGTGGAAGGTCTGAGCAAGTGTGCGGACGCCGAGTCGCTCGAGGTTGACGAGAGGGAATTGCTCGCAGCAGAGCAGGTCAACCGGGAGGGTCTACTAGACCACCTGCCTCTGTTGTTGCACCCCTCTCTCTGCCTTCCCAAATGGTCAGGGATATTGGGCCCAGTGCTACCTGCTCTATGCTCACTTGCAAACCCAGCAGCACCATGGAGATGCTGTGCAAAACGCTGTGGGACGGCCGCAGGCAGGGGGAGGAGTCCCCCAAAGGGAAGGGGGTGTTCACCCTGCCTGATCCTCCTGAGTATTTATCGACCTGCTGGTTGTCCCCAGGCTCTTGACCGCCCCTGGGTCACAGAAGAAAGCCCCGTCCGAATTTGCATAGAACAAGCTACTTTGCCCACCGCCAGCATCCCAAGTTCGTATGGTCAAGTGGTTACGACGTCGCATTGTGGTTCAGCGCCTTATCGGCGTTAACGACGCTGCGGAATCCCGTGTTCGATTCACGGTACGGACAGACCTACCTTTTTGGCGGGTAGTGACATTGAGCTTTTCTTAGCTGCAAAAGCCCACACTACCCAGAGGATCAGAGTCCCACAAGGACAGACCCTTCTTCCTTTTTTGCTGTCTGCCCCCCAATCCGCCACGGTCGACAGTTGTCAAGGAGCGAGGCACCAAAAACTTCGGTCCACTACGCACCAGTGTTGTGGACAACTTGGTGCCCCAGAGACAAGCGCAATTGCACTGGCAAAAGGCTTGGCCTTGGGAAACCCCAGGGAGCCGGGTTGCCCGGGCAAAAAGAGAAGCGACCAGAGCAGGACTTGAACCTGCGCAGGCAAAGCCTAATAGATGGCGAGTTGATTCGAGTCTATCCCCTTAACCGCTCGGGCATCTGGCCTCTTGATAAAGTCTGTTGCCAATGTGGCAAACAAGAAAATAGTTGCAAAAGCAGCGTGGGCGCGGCCCCCTTTTTCCACCCTCTGCCTCTGACCCTGTGGCTGTGTACTGGGCATGCAAAGCACGACCCCCTTTCGACGACTCAAAAAGCCGATTCAGCGAGAAAAGGTCTCGCCTTATGTGAAGCATTGAGGTCTGGACGGGCCGGGCACCGCCTCTTGAGCGCTTGAGCCAGCATTCGGCGCGACGGAGAGGAAGCTCAGCATTGCCTGCTTCCGCCACCCTCTCGCCGCCGGCATGTTCCGCTTTGCTCGCACGTCACTGCGGCTGCTTTCACGCCCAGTCGTCTGCGCGGCACCGCGTGCGGCCCCGTCGTCGCTGTTGCGCCCGGCTGCTCTCCGTGGTGAGCTCGACTTTCCGATCCGCGTCAACACGCGCTCGCAGCTCACCAGACACTTCTTTGCAGCGTTGTACTCGACCGAGGCACCACCGGCATCCATCTTGTCCCTCGCAGCAGACGCGGCCGCGCCTGCGGGCGCCTCCGCCGCCGGGACCGGCGAGTCGCCAGCGCCTGCACCGCCTTCCCAGCCCGAACAGCCTGCCCAGGCGCCCAAGACGTACAAGTCGATCCAGGCCGCCTTGCATGCTCCCGTGTACCGCGCCGTCACCGAAAAGTGCGTGCACGATCATCGCTGGCGCGCGCGCGAGCTCACCACCGGAGAGGAGTGCTGACATGGGGCGAGCGCACACCTCGAACCAGGCCGTTCCGGTACGAGACAATGACCGACGTCCAAGCCGAGGTCTTGTCGCGCCTGCCGCGCTTGTCGGCGTCGCCCGTCCGCCTCGACAGTGCCGGCACCGAGATCGAGGCTGCGCAGGACCTCCTCGTGCGTGCCAAGACGGGCACGGGCAAGACGCTCGGGTTCCTGATCCCGGCACTCGAGGGCCGCCTGCGCGAGCTCGAGACGTTCCTTGAGACGTTCAAGCAGGAGCACCCGGAGGCGTCTGCGCACGAGGCCAAGAAGGCGCTCGCAGCGCACGCCAAGGCATCGGTCGGCGCCCTCATCCTGTCGCCGACTCGCGAGCTGGCAACACAGATCGCCAACGAGGCGATCGCGCTCACGGCGCACCTGCCGCAGTTCGGCGTTCGCCTCCTCGTCGGCGGCGCGTCCAAGGCCAACCAGATGCGCGATTGGATTCGGAGCCCGAGCAACGACATTGTCGTCGCGACGCCGGGTCGCTGCGTCGACATGCTCGAGAGCGAGTCCGCGGTCCGCAAACCCCTCGCCAACACGCGCCTGCTCATCCTCGACGAGGCCGACACCCTCCTCGACATGGGCTTCTCGGACGACATCGCGACCGTCTCTTCCCACCTGCCGACTTGCGACAACCGCCAGACCTTCCTCTTCTCGGCCACCGTCTCGAAGCAGATCCGTGAGGTGGCGCGCAAGAGCCTCAAGCAGGATCACGAGTACATCGACACGGTCCCGGTCGACGAGGTCGACACGCACCTCCACATTCCGCAGTACCACACGATTCTCCCCCGCGCCGAGGACCAGCTCGTCCACGTGCTGCGCCTCATCGCGCACGACCAACTCCTCTGGGCGCGAGAGGCGGCCAAGCAGGGCGGCACCGCAGGCGGCAAGACGGTCGTCTTCCTCCCGACAACGCGCATGACCGAGCTCTTCGCGAGCATCCTGCAGCAGATGAAGGCGCACCTCCCGTGGGGCCGCGACACGCTCGTCATCGAGATCCACTCGAAGAAGACGCAGCAACAGCGGACCAAGGCGTCGGACCTGTTCCGCCGCGCGTCGACGGGCTACTCTGTCCTCGTCACGTCGGACGTCTCTGCGCGCGGCGTCGACTACCCGGGCGTGACGCGCGTGATCCAGGTCGGCGTGCCGCCCTCGCGCGACATGTACATCCACCGCGTCGGGCGCACGGGGCGCGCGGGCAAGGCCGGGCGCGGCGACCTCGTCCTCTTGCCGTGGGAGAGCGGCTTTATCTCGTGGCAGCTCAACGACGTCCCGCTCAAGCCGTGCACGGTTGGCGACATGCAGCGCGAGCTCACGGCGCTCGCGACCCAGTGGGACGCCGACCCGCCCAAGTTTGCCGCCGCCGCGCCTCCCCCTGCCCCCGCGCGCCGCGACCGCTTCTCGCGCGAGCGCCCCATCCCGCGCGCCATGTCGATCCCGCCTGTCCTCTCGCCGCGCCTCGAGACGCTGCCCGAGTCGCTCAAGACCAACATCCTTCCCGCGCTCGACACGATCACGGTGCGCGAGTCGTTCGCGTCGCTGCTCGGGTACTACATCAACAAGGCGCACGAGCTGCGCACGACCAAGGAGGTGGTCCTGACGGGCCTCAAGCGCTGGAGCGTCGAGGCGCTCGGGCTCGAAGACGAGCCGTACGTCAGCGACGAGTTCCTCAAGCGCCTCGGCATGAACGACGGCCGGACCAAGCACCGTGGCAAGCCGCGGACGCAGTTTGGCGGCGCGCGGAGGGACGACAGCGACGGCAAGCCGTGGATGCGTCGCGGGTACCAGGGCAGCAGGGCGTCGCGCGACGGCGACCGGTTCGAGCGCCGCGACGGCGGGGACCGCTACGAGCGCGGTGACCGCTACGAGCGTCGGGACCGCGACGACCGTCCGCCGCGGTTCGAGCGCCGGGATCGCGACGACCGTGGCGAGCGCAGGTCGCGCTACTAGTCGGCCCTCGCCCCTCTGTTTCTCTCTCTCTCTCTCTCTCGACTGTCTCGCATCTAGACGTGGCCCACCTGTCCCGCACTAAAGGTTGTTCCCTCCTTCCTTCATGGGTGTTGTACGCATCGATTGCCTCCCCTCCCTCCCCTTCCTCCCCTCCCCTCCCTACTACCCTTGAATGCGCAAGCCGTGCATGTGTGTACCACGTCCTCTCAACTCGCACCTCATTCCCTCTCATTGGCGCGTTTGAAGAGAGCCGCAGTGAAGTGAGGGAGAGCACTGCCTTTGTTTCGATTCATGCGGGCGCACAGGAAGGCGCCCCATCAAGCTTCAGGTACAGACGACGGAGGGAGACAGACAGACAGACAAGAGTCGCGGGATAGCACCAGATCGGGGACAGGAGAAGCTGAAGGGAGAGCCTGCGAGGTGGACGGGCGTCAAACCAGTGCCGCCCAGTCCGAGCGAGGCAAGGAGGAGCGCGGCGGAAGCACGCACCGACGCTCGTCCCCTCAGCCGCTCAGACAAGCAGGTTTGAGATGGGGTTGTTCTTGGCCTCGGTCTTTGCGCGCTTCTGGCCTTCCTTCTGCGCACATGGACGTCAAGGGGAGGGAGACGGAAAGCATGTGAGCGAGGGACGCAGTTTGGGTTGAGAAGGTCGGGCAAAGGGGGGGGGGGGGAAGAGAGAGCGCACGGTGAGCTTGACGATCTGCTTCCTGTAGAGAGAAGCCGGCACACGCTGGAGTCATTGAAGCGTACGGAGGAGGAGAACGAGAGAAACAGAGGCGCACTTGAAGTTGAAGCACTGGGAGCACTCTGTCTTCTTGTGCTTCCTGCGGGCGCGCGCGCAGTGTTCTCTTCCCGCGTCAGCAGCTCGCTCTCCCCGGCCGGCGAGATGAGAGCGTCAGGGACGCACTTGCACTGGGGCTCGCCGTCCTTGTTCATGCTGAACTCGACGTGGACGGGCTCGCGCATGGGCTCGGGGTCGACGCCGGCTGCTCAGTCAGAGGGTCGGTGCGGGCGGAGGCGCGCTCGTCAGTCCCTCCGTTCTCTCCCACTCTCTCACTCTCTATCGATGCAAAGGGAAGCGCACCCGTGAACGAGTTGTCCTCGCCTGACGACGCGCGCGCACAGAGGAAGCCGTCAGCTCTCTCTCGCAACTCGGGAAGGGCGCGCGCCCCGAGGTGTGGGGGCGGGGGAGGAGAAGGAGGAGAGGACGACTCACGCGCATCGAGCTCGCAGTTCTTGCACTGTTCGAGGCCATGGACGCACGCAATGTAGTCGCCGAGCTCGACGCTCGCGTTCGAGCCGATACTCGTCACGGCGTTGAGGGCTTCCATCGTGTCGAGGCTGAGCCGAGGTCTCGGGAGGCGTGAAGTGGGGCGCTGCGGGGAAGCTGGCGAACGAGGGACAGAGGTGGGTGGGCTGTGTGGGCCGTGCGTGCGGAGTGAGGGGAGAGACCGACAGACGTACAAAGGGCAGAGGAGGACACAGAGAGAGTGAGGTGCAGGAAGGAGGGAAAGAGACGCGCGAGGTGGGGAAAGGAAGGGCTCGAGGGCAGCTCGCTCGCAGCTCAAGAGTCGTGTGACCCCCTCCCAAGTCGCCGAGGGCCTCGACGTCTGCCTCGCTCCCCACAGGCCCGCCAGCCCGCACTAAACGCAGCGAAAATCGACCAAAAGTCTCACGACCGCCTCTGCAGTTCGCAGCGCACGCGCCCAAACTGCAGCACCGCTACGCCCCCGCCGGTCCGCTCCTCCCTCGCCGCGCCACGAGCACCCTCCCCTCGCGTGCCTCGCGCTCCTCCTGCAGCTCGACGAGCTGGCGCACGTTGCGCGCGAGCGCCCGCACGACGGGGAAGCTCGGGATCTGCTGGTACCGCTGGACGAGCGGGGCCCTCTTGGCCGCCGCCGCCGCCGTCGCTGCC